CTTTGTGGTGTCTCAACAGCTTCACGTAGCACCAGTTACTCCTTTTCATTTTAGCTTTGGCATAAATGTAGGAATTGAAGGTAGAGGGAATACAAATGAACCATAATGACTCCCTTTAATATTTTAGGCACATTTTTATGAGCGAGTGTCTAAATTTGGTACAAAACACCATGGCAACAAATGCCACCATATGCACCATCAAAACCACAGATGTTGCCATAAGCAGGGGGGTAAAAACACGGTTTTACAGCGGATCTCTCCATTTCTACTGCCCTGCTTCCTCTTTAACCATGCTGTCTGCACCTCCACACACACTCCACTCCATCCCCATCAGCCCACCACACACACACACACACACACACACACACACACACACACTGCCAGCAGCCGTCATTCCACCGTGTATGTTCAGCTGGCCTGTCAAGTCCCCATCCAGCCAAGTGCCCACCCATCTGTTGAACCTAAGACAGCATGCAAATCTGAACCCAGAGAGGAAATGTTCTATCAAACGATGAACTTATCTGCATGCAAACAGTGGCTTCCAGGGGCCTCTGGGGTCTGGGGCCCCAGGGCATGCTGCAGTATTGAAGGCACAGGCAACGCAACACTGATGTAAGCTACAGTCTTGGCCTTCGGTAAGCAAACCACGTACTTCATTTTAACCCCATGTATTGATTTTTTTTTTTAATCTGTGTACATTATTTTTATAGTATAATTGATGTTAGTAAAAAAAAGAGTTCATTCATGTGACTTGTTTTGAAATTCCATGTTTATTTAAAAAAGCTTCAATCACATTGACTTGAAGTCCCTCTTTGGTCATTGATTATACCCTTCAAAACTCTGTGTGAGTTATATCTTAAAGTTTGTTTCTTTTTTCTTCTTTGAAAATAATCTTTGTAAACCTTAACATTACTTGGATGTAACAGTGCTGCCTTCTACAGAATGTGTGCGTCTGTCTACACTCTCCATCCCCCTCTAGCTCAGGCACACCAACGCACCCACCGTTGCTCAGACGCTGCAAAATACTTCACGCTATACGAGGAGTGTCAGAAAAGTTCAAGGACTGGTGTCACGAAAGATATATTTCAAATACAAACTCCAAGTTTTTTTCTTGTGTATATAGTCTTCTTTAAAAATAAGTAAATAAATCAATAATTCTGTATATAATGTTTTTCTTTTGTAAGTTTTGCACTATGTGTTGCTGTTTCTTTGTCCTGCAATATGCATTGGGTTTTTTCTAAATTTTTCTTGCACTGACACTTTTTCTTTTGGAGCTGTTGTAGCGGTAAGCTTTCCCCACTGAGGGATCAATAAAGTTTATCTTTATCTTTATCTTTTCCCCTTCGAAGTAATTCCCCTGCAGTCTAACACACTTCCCCAGCCTTCTCTGCCTTCACGCCGCCATGCACTCCTGGAAGGATTCTTCTTGGATCCTCCTCAGCTCCGTCGTCACAGCCATCTTGATGTCGTCCACGTCTTCAAAACGGGTCCCCTTGATGACCCCCTTGAGCTTGGGGAAGAGGAAAAAAATCCCACGGAGCCAGGTGGGGTGAGCAGGGAGGTTGCTCCAGCACGGAGATGTTCTTCTCAGCCAGGAACTGTTGGAAGCTCAGGGCGTTGTTGTTGTCATGGTGAAGCAGCCATGACTTGTCCTGCCACAACTCTCGCCTCTTCTTGGCACTGAACGAAGCAGATGCTGCAGAATTTCTTTGTAGACGTGCTGGTGGTGGTCAACCATGGTCTACCAATGAGACTGGACAAGCAGGTCCACTGTAGCATCCATCAGCCAGACTTTCTGTAATGAGAACAGGTAAGAAATCTACTTTCACTCAAAAAAATTGCAGTTCTGCTTATCAATACAGTACTCAATGAGTACAGTAGTAAAGTATTGTCTGTGGACTGTTCTGTAGGACTGTAAAAATAAAGTATGTTTCAATTATTTAGGGAATGTATTCCTACTTTGTATTCCTACTTTGTATTCCTACACAGTATTTACAGGATTTTACTATTTGTATTGCAGAACTGAAAGATGACCAACACGAGGTGGTCGGGAGCATCTTCTCCTGAAAAGGAAACTGAAATCATGAACACGGTCCTAGAAAATAATGCCATAACATCACAGCAAATACAAAGAAAAATAATAGAAAACAATGAGATATTTCAAAATATTGACAGGGTAAGCTTATCAACACTGGATCATGTCTTAATCTACGGATGAAGCAAGTCTATAGGGCGTCATTTAAACACAATTCAGAAAGAGTCAAAGAACTGCGATATAACTATGTGCAAGTAAGTCCTATACAATCCCACAGCTGATGAATAGTCTCAACACTGTATAAATTATACATATTTCAGCATTGTAATTATTTTGTTTACTGTAACTGTATGCAGTAATTTATTCTGTTGTTTTGTATGTAGATGACTGTATGTGCAGCTTTGTGTTGGTTGGAATGTGCACTATGTGCATTGTTTATGTGGGAAAA